CCCCCCTGCCACCCAGGAGCAGGCCTAAGCCAGCAGATTGTTATCTCCTGAGGGGTCCCAGACTGCGAGAGGGCACAGGCCGGCCTGAGGGACCCCCTCTCCCCCGCCGAGCGCACAAATTTTTGTGCCCCGGGCCTCTATTTATAATAGCCAAGATACAGAAACAACTCGTGTCCATCAGTAGACAAATGGATAAAGGAGTGGTACATTTATACAATAGAAAGAGAATGAAATCTTACCATTTGCGATAACATGGATGGACCTAGAGGGTATTATAGTAAGTGAAGTAAGTCAGAGAAAGATAAATACCATATGATTTTACTTATATGTGGAATCAATCAAACTGATGGTTGCCAGGGCTAAGGGTAGGTGGGATGAGGTATGAGTAAAAAGGGTAAAGGCATTAAGAAGTACAAATTTCCAGTTATAAAAACAAGCATAGGGAATATAGTCAATAATATTATAATAGCTATATATGATATCAGATTGGTACTAGACTTTTTAGAGTGATCACTTTGTAAGTTATATAAATGTCTAAGTACTATATTGTATACTTGAAACTAACAATGTTTTATGTAAGCTGTAACTGAAAAATAGAGAATATTTTTTGGAAAAAACACTGAAAAATGGTATCTGGAAAAGATTCAACATATTTTTTTTTTTGAAATTCCAGAATTCGCACCCCAGAGAATGACTGCTAAAAAATAATAATGTTCAAAATATTTCATGTTAAATTATCTTCCTGGGTACAATGGCTCCTAAAAGATCAAACTTGTTTGATAGCCAATTTATTAGGCTATCAGTAATTCAAATCTCATAATATAGTTAATTTGAAAAAAGTATGCTTTTTATTTAATATACACCTAAATTAATTAAACAACTTTAAGGTTAAATTTCATGTTAAGATAACTTGTCTTCCAAACAAAAGGTAAAATGAGTATTTGCAATCATAGCCCATTTTTCTGTCCCTGGAGTTGACTGACACAATATCCTGGAGCAATAAATACATTTTCAATGCATCTGCCTGACATGTATAATTATTCTTTCATAAAACTATATAAAACAATTCTGGCAAATAAAATTCTATAAAACACTCAGCTTTTATATTATATCCCATTAGAGTTTTGTAAGATCTCTGTAGGTCATAAAAATGAACAACATTCAAGGGTATTTTGAAGACAAATTCCCTCATGCCCTACCTCTGAGGATCTTCAAATACAAGTTGATATTTGTTGATAAGAGGGTAGAGAACAACTCAAATATCCTTATCTTAAGAGAGGAGAAGATATGTGTGGGTTTTTTTTAATTCAGTGATAAAACCTGGGTTTGGGAAACCCAAATCTTTAGTCATTTGCCTGTTCAACTCCTTTATGTTCTTTGGTGCTGGAAAGAAGGAAGTGCCACATAAAACTGGTCATCAGCAATGAGTCATCCCTAGGTTTCTCCCTCCTGATAAGCAACAGTGTTAAAGTGAACGTATGCATTTTAGAGACAGGAAGGGCAGCTCTGCCAAGTAAATATGCTGACAGTTTAGAAAAATTAGGTGCAATTATACGGACATGTTGAATGCTAGAAGGCCACAACAACTCCCAGCGACACTTGCTGTACCTGGAAGAAAGCAGCTGTCATCTTCCCTCAGACATTTCCGAGGGGAGAAGAGGAGGTCTGCTTAGGGCACTGGTGGGGAATTGAGCCTTAAGTCTGCAAAGGCCCACCCACCTCTGCTGCAGCTCTGCACAAGACAGAAACTATTGTAATAACTTAAAGGTACTCTCTCCTCACTGGGCTCTATTCGATGAGAGTCAATGAACACACCAGAGAAAGCCAAAAACAAAAAGTAAAATAACCTCCTCCAAACTACTATTTGGAATTAACCACCTCATGTCAAATTGTATAAGACATGTAAAAAAGACCCTGGGTTTGTTTTCTTTCCTTCCTTCCTTCTTTCCTGCCTTCCTTCCTTCCTTCCTTCCTTCCTTCCCTCCTTCCTTCCCTCTCTCCCTCCCACCCTCCCTCCATATTCACACATGCCATATCCAGGACGGCTGTCTGTAGTGTCTACTTTCTCTACCCCCACTGGCAGAGTTTTTTCTTAAAAACAAAGACAGAAAGTCTAAATCACACATGTCTAGGGGTTTATAGATCACTTTAGAGATCTGCTTATCTGATCACCTGTGTCCCTAAAAATGGGCAGATAATACTCTATATTTAAAGATAATCATGCCAAAGAATTCCATTATCCATACCTACATGGTAAGAGCTGTTATAATTTTACAGAAGGAGAATAAAAAAGTACTCTTACCAATGAGGCTATATCCTACTCTTGAAAAATCATACAAAAGTTGGGGGCCAAAAAAGTAGGTTTACAGTTGTTTGTGTGGAAAATATTGCAATAATTAATATAAGAATAAACTGTTTTGTATACTCACAGCTGTAAACTTCTGCCCCACCCTGTATATTCATAGATAAGAAAAAACTAAAACTTTCAGCATGTATTATATCTATGTTTAAATATAAAATGGTAGATGGGATAACTTTTTAAGTGTTAAGCAAAACAATTACTTTCTGTTATAAAGTTGGAGATACTGAGAAACTACCTGCTGCTGCTCACAGAAAGCTAAGACACCATGCTGGATCAATGTTAGTTGCCTACTACCTTAAACAAAAAGAATAAAAGCCACTTAAAATTGAGCCTCTCATAGGTTATCATGACATTCACAATAATAAATCTTCATGTCCTTGGTACCTTCTTAAAGAGAGGAAGGATAGAAAAACAGGTACATACAACCTCCGTGGCTTTCTCTTGAAGGTTAATGAGAGACTTGGTCTATTAGGCAATCCTCTGCTTTTAAATACAGGATATCCAGGAGAGAGGAAGAGATCTTTGTCTCCTAAGTTCTAATAGTAGGTAGGTCTTGGTAAAAGGAACATTTATTATTGCCTGGTTTTATCTCTCACAATGGAATTTCTGTGAAAGCATTTCAGTATCTAAGATAGACTTATCTTAGTATTTCCATTATCATCTATGTATAAAATCATAAACACAACCAAAAAAAGTATAAGAAAAGCTTAGCATGATGGTCTTGGATTTACAATGGTCTTGGATTCACAATTTACATTTCAGGTGAGAAGAGGTTATTTTTTATAAGGCCATTTGTTTCTTTTTTAGAAATATTCTGGAAAACTCTCTCCTCGTGGTTTAACAATACATTTTTGCTCAGAGCACTGCATGTTAATATTAATGTCCTTGGCTCCACAGAATATAACTCATGGCACAAATTAAGCTTTAAAACTATTAAATTACAATTTAATTTTGAGTTTTACTAATGAAATATGAACATCTACGATGATGCTACGAAATAATTCATTACTTTTATTAGCTATATGAAGAAAAGAAGCAGAGCTAATTTCTTTACATGTACATTTTTGAAATGGGAAAGCTCTGTAGGTATTAGCATTTAGATCAATTGTATTTTACTCCAAAGTGGAAAAAACACACAAAGGTATAAATTCTATCAAAATTTCATAAATGAGAGGATAAGAAAATCTAAATGTAAAAGCACAAAGACACACAGCACTTCAGAAAAAATATACAAGATGATTCAGGAATTACCCTGGCCTCTCTCAGGAATATTGTAAATTGTATTTCTTTTTCATAATTTACTAAACTAAAGGGCACAAGGAGGGAGAGAGTCAGAGACAGAGAGATGACTCATGGGAAATCTGCCTATACACATTTTACCTAAACATGCATTACAAAAGTCCAAGGGGGAATAGGCAAAAAAAAATGCTCGAAATAAAAACAAGTCCTATCTGGCTTAGATAGCTCAAAAGTGACAAACTGGTATTTCAAGTTCCTGAAAATAAAAGAAAACAACATTTGTCTGACAAAACAGAAATGCATTTCATATAAAGGAAACTAACCTTTTACATGAACTATGAAAAAAATTATTTTTTTAGAAATCTATACTGTCAGCCAATACTCTCCATACTAGTTTCTAGGTGACCTCCATTTGTAAGTTCTTGCTCCCCAGGAAATTATATGGGATATAGTCAACTCCCAGAAGACTACTTGTCTCCATGTGTTGGCTCAGGGATAAAGACAATCCAACTCTACACAGTATTTCAAATAGGCTAGTCAAAGACTACAGCATTTCTCTAAAAACAAGCAAATGATCTTTGATGGGTCAATTAAGAAAAAGTCTATATTGATGGGGATGGAATGAGCTCCTTAGCCCGAGGACTGTAGGACTGTTTCACCATGAGCTTACAAGACAGGACCATGTAAATTTAACTGCACATAACATTTTTCTGCCCGTATCGATTAAGATTGCTTTTGCTTATAACTTCTATTTTCAAAACAAAGAAAGACTACTAGTAAAACCTCTGTAAGGAAGTAGTTCAAGCACCTAAATAAAAGATTTGTGCCGTCAGATGAAATTTTGAAGGAACTGTTCTTGAGACATTAAGGACAAAGAAAGAGAGAAAAGATAAAAGTACCACAAGAACCTGGCAAAGTTAGCTTTAACTTTGGCTCTGATCCCATGGCAAATGAGGCTGTTTGCACAAATCCTGACTCATACCTAATTCAAAAATAAAGTGAGGGACATCTTGCCAAAAAAGAACACCAAGCAAGTTGTTTCTAAAAAGCATGAGGGGAAATACTGCAATTATTGGTTCTATTTTTTTTATAAGTAGCATTATTCTTATCCCTTGTGGGCTTGTTATGGACGCTTCAAAAATACATCCATGCAAATTTTGTTTTCCAAAGCTTTATACTATATAATAAAATGCTATCTTTTTAGGAAATAATCCAATAGTAAACACAATGGACCATAACAATTGTAATGAAATAAAAGTTCTCTAAAATTCACAAAACTGTAATTTTATTTTACAGTTAAATTATGACCCAAAATATTATTTTCCACAACTGGGACTTGGAATGGTCATCTTGTTACTATGTGTGACCTTACCATTGGGACTGGATTTTATTTTCACCTCAAGCTGCCTTTTCTCAGTTCAATACTGCCAAGTGGGAGAAGATTGTTCCCACCTCTCCATGCCACAGACTCAGTCCTCCTAGCTAGTTCTGACTCTTGGAACAACCTTTGGGCAGCTGCTGGGAGGGTACATGCTGCGCTGGCCACCATTCAAAAGCCATCATGTGGGAAGCCTACCTCTC